CATAAATGATTTGATATAACATTAAATATAATAATTATTGCAAAATTAATTTTAAGTCCCTAAAATTTGTCAAAGCTTTAAAATGAGTCTTTTAAGTTCAAAATATATTAAAAATATCATTCAAATACTTTAGAATAATTTTCAAAGTCTTAAATTTCTCAAAATGTCAAAAACTAACTTTTTAAACAAGTATTGACAATAAGTTTTGAAACTTTCTACAAGAGTTTCGAAATTTTCCAAAACAGTAGCCCAAAAAGTTTGAAAGCTTTCCTGTATATTTGAACTATCTCAAGAGTTTTGAAACTTTCCTTAAAGTTTCGATACTTTGGGTCCAACGGTCATATTTTTCAATTGCTCTTTCATAGAGTTTTGAAAGTTTCCCCATAGTTTTGAAAGTTTGTGTGCATGTAGCCTTAAATGCGCGAATTTAATGCTTCAAATGACTCCAAACTCCCTCCAACAACCATAAACAACTAAAAATCAATTACCACATATAAAAGGTGTCTTCAAACAGCCAAGAAAAGGCAAGAAAGCTATTCCAACAATCAAAGAACATTTAGAGCCAAATTTGTATTCAACTCCGTCTTTTTTACATATAATACTATTTCGTTCTTTGTATTACTCATTCTAGTGTTCTTGGGTGTGTGAGAGCTTCAATTTGCACACATTCTATCTTGTTAGGATATTCAAAAGTTTTATTCTTTGTAATTTATTCTTAGGAAGGGTTGTACATTTGAGACTTTAGGGTATAAGTCTAAGTGTGTTGTAAGGTTAAATCTTATCCTAAAAGGTTAGAACAAATTAGTGGGTTTGTTGATATCCTTAGTGTGGAAGCTAAGGTAGTAGATGTAGACTTGATTGAAGAAGTTGAAAAACTCTAAAATTGCTTGTGTCAATGTTTCATTTTCTTGCAAATTTAAGACTCGAACTCATGCTCGAAAATACCCTATTTGGGCTCAAATTTAACACTCAAACTCACCCAAACTATTTTTATTGAGGTTCCCAATCATTATTAATGTTTTATGAGATATAACAAGGTCATAAAGAAGGCTTTATGCTTGTTAACAACACCAAAACATGGAATCTACCATGAATGTTCAACATGCTCCATAACTTGACTCTTAAGCTAGAATGCATTTATAATGATCCACAAATGATATGATGAAGTTATAAATGTGTTACCTTCAATTCTTAGTTGGTGAAACCTCTCCCAAATCAACCAAGGGTCAATTTCTCTTTTCTTTTGCCTTGGAGCTTTCTCCCACCTCTTTCACTAATCAAAGGTAAGAAAATGAATTATTGACTTAACTAGGTGCTTGGATTTAAGTTAGAAACACTTCCTATAACTTGAATCCACTAAAAATAAGCTACAATCACTTGAGTATCTTAAATATCCTTAAAACCCATTTTGGAAATTATGACTAAAAGTTGAAATATGGAGCTTAAATGGAGGCTCTTGGAATGGAGATTTCATTTCTTACCTTAGAATTCTTGAACTAGGCTTGAAAAACTAAAAGATATACCTTGGTGAGGAAGAATACGAAATAAAACATGAAAATAAAGGAAGATTATTTGGTGGGTTTTGGTACAAGTGAAAGGAAATCAGCTTTTGATTTGAGCCATGGGTCAATTATACTTTTAGTCCTCTCATTTATATTTCTTAAAAAACTCATCCTAATTCTCTATCACTTGGGCCGAACTTAAGCCCACTTCTATCTTAACTAGGTCCAAACTATTCTAATATGTCTTTTTTGCTTGATTTATAGGTCCCGGGTTATCCCAAATTACTAACCCGAAACTCAAGGCATTACAGCCTTAAAGTGGCTCTAAATAGTTTATAAACCTTATAAATTATGTTCTTGTCTCTCCTAAACTTTTAGATGAGTTAATAACAAATTTCCTTGATTGTTATTAATGAGAGAAGTAATAGAAAGCTTTAAGGTTAAAGATAAGGAGAAGTTGGTTCTTGGGTGATCTTTGGGGATGTTTTCCAACAACTACTCTCTAGGTAACACACTTCTAACACTCCTATAACGATTGTAGATCAGTATGTGTGGTGTATTTTCTTGTATGTATTCATGAAGCTTGTTGATTGAATTTGAGTTCATCAATTGGAATCGGAATATTGATGTTGATCAAGCATAAAGAAATGGCCTTTTATGATCATTTAAAACTACATAAACTTTAAAGAGTTTTTGGGGGTATTTGGAGGGTCTTAGGATTGATTTGGAAAGTTTCACTCTTGAAAATAGGACATTCTTGGTTTAGGGTACCAGTATTATATGAATAATACCGATATTGTTCGATTGATAGGAAAAAGTCAAGAGTGGTTGCTAGGTAGTATCGTTACCTCGTTCTTTGGGTATGGATATTGTTTATAGGGTACAGTTACTTGAGGTTTAATATCGATATTAGTTAACGAAGTCAGATTTATAGTAATTTAAATTGGTATTGGTACTGCAGAGGGTAGTATTGATACCTTAGATAGGGTATCGATACTAGGGTATTTTCACAACATTAAATACAAATTTGGTATCGATACCCCATGTAAAGGTATCGACACCAAAGGTTAGTTCAAGAATTTTAGTATGCCAAAATAATATCAATGCTCGGGGTAGTATCAATACCCTAAGGGGAAATAATACCAAAACCATATGGTTGATTATCGATACCATTGTGAAAACAAGGGCCATAAGCGTTGCCTTGATCTAGGGATCTGGGGAGGGTTAGGAATAATGGGAACTTCTAAATAAAAGCTATTAAGTGAGAAAAGAATAATTGTGTGATAACATAAGAGCATTATAAGGTAAGATTCCACGAGACTCATGCCTTGTTTGACACTCATGAAAAAATGAGGACACCTGAATCACATATGTACGATGATCTTCATGTAAAGTAAACAACTATATAGATATATCTAGTCTAGTACAAGGGCACCTAGTTGAATGTTGTACTGATACTATGTGACCTAGACACATTCTGAGTACTCTAGAGGAGTAGACTAGCCAAGCACGGTGTCGATCATGTGTGAACCAGACCTTGGCTAGGGTACAAGTGAGATGTTAATGCTATGTGGCCCAGATCTTACCATTAGTCCCCATAGTAAGAAAATAAGGGTCTGAGTTCCATCATGCTTTGTAGGCCTAAACTACGCCATGATACTTACTTGTGTAGTGTGTACAATATATCTTTTTTTCATCATTATACTTGTAGAAAATGTATATAATTTTTTTATAAAAGTAGTGTATTTGTTAGAAATCCTTATTGTAGAGCTAAGGTAGTGGATGTAGATTTCGATTGATAAAGTCGAACTATTCTAAATTATTGTACAAATTTCTCTATATTTTTCCTTCCACAACCAAAATCTTTAAAGGTCAATTCACCCCCTCTTGGCTTATTTCGATTTTTCGTATAACCTTAATAGTCTAAAAAAAATTGGTATTAATGTGCGCCATAGTCGATGATTTGGTAACCTTATAAAGATCCTAGAAGTAGTTTATTAATTCTTGACTTAACCGACTCTTACTATCTTGAGGATTCTCACTCCATCACAAAGCCTCCCTACTTCAATGGTGCCAACTACTCCTGTTGGAAGAATATGATGATATTAGTAGTTCAAGCCACTAACTATTCAGTTAAGGACATCATCACTGATGGTTTTTCCACCCCTCCACAGAATAGGTCGAAATGGATAAATGAAGATAGAAAGAAATCCCAAGTAAAAGCCAAAGGGATGCACATTCTCTTGTGTGCACTTGGACTAGATGAATATAGTTGAGGTTGTATCCCAATGAAGAAGTAGTGAGAAAGATGCTCTATTCCTAAACAATGTCATGAGAAGGAAAGAGAACCACCCTCAAAGAAGCCAAAGTTTTGGGAGGTTCTCACTCTTCATGAACTCATCGGATCATTGCTTAGTCATGAGATAAAAATCCAAAAGAAATAAGTAGATGATGAAGAAAAAAATTGTGGGGTGTATCAAAGGCTTATAAAGCGATTGCTTTACTTAACCAACACTCGTCCGGACATTGCATTTGTAGTCCAACACTTGAGTCAGTTCATGCAAAAGCCTAAAACAGTGAATTATGAAGCAGCCTTACGAGTCATGAGGCATGTGAGAGGTTTCCCTAATCACGATATATTACTAGCAGCAAACAACAAGCTACAATGTAATGCTTATTGTGACTCAGATTGGACGTCTTGTCCCATGACTAGGAGATCGATAACAGGGTACTGCATCAAGCTAGGAGAATGCATGATCTATTGGAAGTCTAAGAAGCAAAGCATAATGTCGAGATCCTCAGCAGAAGTTGAATATAGTGGAATGGCTTCAGCAGTGGCTGAACTGGTATGGATAGAAGCAGTAGTAAGAGAATTACGATTTAAACATGGAGCTTCAGCTATGGTTTTTTGTGACAGTCAAGTGGCCATACAAATTGCAGCTAATTTGGTGTATCACGAGCATACAAAACACATTGAGATCGATTATGTAGACACTAATTTTTCAGTTTGCTATTATTATTATTATTGTTATTATACATTATACATTATTATTATTATTATTAAATAAATATTACAAGGCCCGAAACCCGGAGCCCAATTACATACGGATCCAGACCTAACTTGAACCGACCCAGATGGCCTAGCTAAACCTTAAACCCATATTAGGGTTTTCATCTCATCCCAGTCGCAAGACAATCTCAGCCGTTAGATCTGGCAAGATACAAAGGTCCAGAAGCTTCCAGATGAAAACCCTAGGGTATTATAACCCTAGGGCCACACGACCGCTACTGCTTCCAGAACATCCACAGTCGCCACGCCTCTGCCAGGTGGTCCAACACCCCACTAGCGATGCCTCCACCGCCATTGTCGACACTCCTTTTCCACGACACCAATCGAAGCTTCCAGAAAAGCCATTACAGCCGCACACGTCGCTCTAACGGTGAGTCACCACTAGAGGTTCGGTGACTCACCGAACTTCCACCCTTGGGACCGGTCCGATGAGAGCCTCGTTGGTGGCTATAAAAGCCACCGATCCTGCAGAGAAGAAAAAGACACAGACAACGAGCAAGAACAGAACAAAAATAGAAGAACAAGGCACGACAAAAAGCAATTAACGGTAGACAAACCAAAACCAACAACCATCAAAGAAGAAAAGAGAAGGAGACTTACCGAGGAGTCATCCCCGCGGCACTGAAAAATTGAAACATCTAAGGTAAATAACCTTGATCTACGACGATCGAAGGGGATTTATAAAAAAATAAGGTCGGATTCGAGCTTTAGAAACTGAGATCTTCGATTTGGGTATATTTTAAGTTTTTTGGACGCCGGCGCCGGATTAAGGCGACCGGCTGGTGTTTGGTTTCCCCACGGTGAGGGAAACTTAGAGAGAGGGGAGAGCATTTTGAATCTCTCTCTTTTAGAAAGAGAGTGAAAAAAAAGAAAAATGAATGAAGAAGGCCCTAGGATCGGCCATTTAGGGGTTTATATACCCTAGCCATGTTTATATAGTATTTAGGATAAATAACTATTTTAGTCCCTTATAGTCTTATAAATTTTATTTTAACCCAAATAATTAATATTTCTGGCTAAATTACATTGTAAACCTTTAGATCTTGTGATATTTCGAATTAGAGCACTAAGTTTAAATATTTTACATTTTAATCACTAATTTTAATAGTTTCATTTTTAACTACAAATTTTACTACTTTTTATATTTTAATCCTATTGTTTTAATTTTTTTATTTAGGTCACTATTTAATTGCAATTTAATTTGTATTATTATCATTTTAATTTCAATCAGTTTAAATTATTACTTTAATTATCATGTTATTATTATGTAGTCATATAAATATATATAATAAATAATTATTATTTACTTATTTTATATATATATATATATATATTAAATAAAAATCCTATTTATAAATTTAATTTTATATAAATTACTTTTAGGAAAAATAATCATATTTTAATATGTATTTTAAAAAGTGCTGTCTGAAAGCACATATAAGTCCTTTTCTGATATTCTTAAATAAATAAATATCCTATTTTTATAAATTATATATTAATTTATTTTAATTATTTTTAGAGAATGTTTTATTAATATTTAGAAATGTGCTGTCTTAAAGCACCTAGAAGTCATTTTTTAATATTCTTAAATAGGGGTGCTAATCATTCCCTAAACGTAACCGACCACGAATCCCTTTTTATTATTTTTTTTTTGTTATACGCAGATCAGTTTCTCTTATAAATTATATTTTCTTAAAAATTATTTTAAAAGATAGTTTTTAGGTATTTGACCTACCTAACCCAAAAATGTCAATGGCGACTCCCAAAATAGTTTTTACTAAAATCATTTATTTATTCATTTTAATTTTTCCGTCAAGTAAAAATTCGTACCTGGGCAAAAACCGGTTACGACAGATCGAGTTGAAGTGTCAAAACTAGTGAAGTATTAACACATTATTATTTTTGCATTTATGCAGTTTTTGTAAATGGCAAGTTGTGTAAGGACCCGAAGCTTGCCGTTGCAGAAGACTTCTTCCTTCCAGAGCTTAACATTCCAGGAAATACATCAAACCCAGTAGGATCCATGGTCACTCCAGCCAATGTTGAAAAAATACCAGGGTTGAACACTCTTGGCATTTCTCTCGTTCGAATCGACTATTCACCTTACGGCGGCCTAAACCCTCCTCACACCCACCCTCGTGCCACAGAAATTCTAGTCGTCGTGGAGGGCACTCTTTACGTCGGCTTCGTTACATCCAACCCGGAGAACCGTCTCTTCACAAAAGTCCTGTACCCCGGAGATGTCTTCGTGTTCCCGGTCGGCCTCATCCACTTCCAGTTCAACATAGGGCACACCAATGCAGTTGCCTTTGCTGGTCTCAGTAGCCAAAACCCAGGTGTTATCACCATTGCAAATGCAGTGTTCGGCTCAGACCCGGCAATCAATCCCTATGTTCTTGGCAAGGCCTTCCAGCTCGATAAGAATATCGTTAAGCAACTTCAGTCCCGGTTCTGGTGGGATAATAACTAGAGGAATAAATTTCTGAACCCCGTGAAACCTACATAGTAGGCTTGCTAATTATTTTCTGGATAATGTTGGACTTGTTTCTGTCGTTCAATTCTTTATTCCTAGTTGAAATATTGAGAAATAAACAAGTTTCTTATGTACTTTCTTTTGAACGTATAATAATATGGTCCCTGGTAAGCAATTTGCAGTTAATTCTTTTGAAACAGGTTGGCCAACTTCTCTCGGAATCCTTTCATTTCAAAAGAAAAACGTATGATTAGTAAGAAATTGCGGTTAAAAAATATTAAGCTTTTTAGCTAAAAATTTTAAAAATTAAATAAAGTAAATTTAAGTTGGAAATTTAGATCAAGTATTTTTGAAATATTACTTGAATATTTTTTATTAAGTAGGTTTTCTTTACATTGCAATTTCAATGAACTTAAATAAGAAAAATCTTCTCCACTACTTTCTCGAGCTTCATCTATATCGTTTTCAAGATTTCTTCATCCCATTTTGTTTTTCTTTAAAGCTGAGATAATTTCTTAATATATTAAAGGATAAACTACACGTTTAATATCTCAACTATTACTTTTGTTTTGTTTGCTTAACCAATTGTTTTTTCAAAATTATACTTAACGCATAGTTTTAATTTCATTTCTGTCTTTCCCTTTAAAAAATAACGGTGATGTTGATGTATCACCATATGATAATGACACATTGTCATTGAAAACAAAAACAAAAAATGACATTACAGCAGTTCTACTAATTTTTTAACAGTGGGTGATTAATATGAAACAAAAACTAAACATTAAGTACGATTTTTAAAAAAATAGTTGGGTGACCAAAATAAAACAACGGTGATAAATGGGGTGCTAAATTTGTATTTTAACCTTTTAATATTTTAAATCCATTCGATTTTACTTTTTAGATCGAGTTTTGATCATTTTAATTAAATTTTTAAATTCTTAAAAACATTCTAACATATCACTATGAAAATAGTAATCTTTTTTTGGGCCGATAATTACATAATATTAATTTAGTCATTACTATCAAGACCTGCATTATCATTGTTTCTATTAAATGTAACATCTTTATGTTCAACAATTAATTCGTGAAAAAGATAATTTCTTTGTCATATGCAAAGTTCTTTCTAGTTGACTGATTATTGTAACTTTCGTATTTTGTTGAATTCATATTTTGATATCAAATAAGGGTAAATGTTTTTTGGTTTAATTGAATTTGTTCAAAGATTTCAAAAGTAGTTCAAAGTCCATTAAACAAGAATTTGAACATAAAAGGATACTACATAAATAGTACCAAAGCCAAAGGTAAGAGAAATATCTATATTCTCATGGTCAAGGAAAACAATTATAATTGACAATTTTTTTTAATATAACAAGGGAAGTATCTATATTTCTTGTGCTGGGAAATTTTATTTCGTATCTTATTAAGTCCCCAATGGCTCCAAACTTCCTCCAACGACTAGAAACTGTTACAACATCATTCCATCTTATAAAAATAAGTCAGGAACACTTGAAAAAGGTCATAACACCTATCCAAGTAAAATAGATCAAGAGAAAAGCCCTTTCATTTTTTATTTTTCATTTTCTCTTGTACATAGTGTTTGTAACTCCCTAAATTATAAATTAGTAGTTTTTGGTTAACCCGAGTGTGTTTCGGATAAATTCGACTACACATCAAGAAGCCCTGGTTAATTTAACACTCTCTCCTTCTCCAGTTGTGGTTTGAGAAAAAGGTGGATGCTTGACAGACCTACATCCCTAGATCGAATTTGCTAAGGTAAGGAAATCAACTAGCACTTTTAGAGCTTTTATTCAAGCTCTCAATCTTAAAGTTTGGCCATAGTGGTTAAGTGGGATTTTTGGAAGTGTTTTGTGTTATGGAGCTTGAGAGTGGCTTTAAATCATTTATAAACCATATAAATATGTTCTTCTCTCTCATAAGCCTTTAGATGAGTTAATAACAAATTTCCTTGATTGTTATTAGAGAAAGAAGTGGAAGAAATCTTTAAGGTTAAGGACAAGGAGAAGTTGATTTTTGGATGATCTTTGGGGACACTTTCCAGCAGATAATATCAAGGTAACACACCTCTAACACTCCTATAACACTTGTAGAGTAGTACGAGTGTGTGTTTTCTTGTACGTGTTCATGAAGCATAGTGGTTGCATTTGAGTTCATAGATTTGAATAGGAATATTGATGTTGTTCATACATAAAGAAATAACCTTTTATGATCATTTGAACCTACATAAGCTTTAAACAGTCTTTGGGGACTTTTTGAGGGTTTAAAGAGTGATTTTTTAGAGTTTCACTCTTGAAAATAAGCCATTCTTAATTTAGGGTTTCAGTACTATACGAACAATATTGAAATTGTTCGCCTAATAGGAAAAAGTCAATAGTAGTTGCTAGGTAGTATCGTTACCTCGTTCTTTGGGTATGGATATTGTTTATAGGGTATCGATACTGTAACACCCTAATTTTTTCCTCAAGCTCGAAACTCTAGGATTTGGAATTTTTCCCTAAATCCCTAAATTATTTTTCAAGACCGATTTAAAATTTTTGTAAAACTTGATGCAAGTCTTGTGAACCCTAGAAAGTCTGAGGTCTAACTTTGTGATTAAAGTGATTTGTTTTTAGTAACAATTCATTTACCAATCTTTTTCACTCATGAGTCGCTCTTGTATTTTTTTCTATTTCTCTTTCGATACTTCACAATCACTACTAATCTTATTCCTTCACTTGTTTCATCATTAGGTCATTGTTGTGACAAAAAAGATTGTCGGTAAGTCGTTCGACCACACCCCTTCACTCTTCTCCCCACTGTTTTATCGTGCATCGCAGTTCAATACCACAAAAGGGGGAATTCTAGACCTCCTCGTCGTCGTTCAATGTGTCAAAATTGTCCATGGTCGTTTTGTGGTGGACCACTATTTTGTGACCTTTACCCTTGTGGTGGACCCCACTTTGTATGGTGTGGTTTGATTATAGATAGTGTGGTTATGGGTAACCCACTTTTCGGATGGTGTGGTAGGAGTACGAATAGATGCATAAGCATTTACATAACATTCAAATCTATGATCATCACTGTTTGATTCGGGCTATGAATTTTATTGATTTATTCATATTATGTTATAAATTGTGTTTGTTTGCACTTAAAAGACACACTAAATTTTATTTCAGATAATCAGAATTAGATGAACTGATACTTGGTTGGTTTTGTCATTATTTTTCTGAAGAACTATTATGTCGTCGTGGAGGGCACTATTTACGTCGGCTTCATTACATCCAACCCGGAGAATCGTCTCTTCACAAAAGTCATGTACCCCGAAGATGTCTTCATGTTCCCGGTTGGCCTCATCCACTTCCAGTTCAATATAGGGCACATCAATGTAGTTGACTCAATATTTAGAATATTGGAGTTGAAATCACTGAACATGTTCCCTTCGAATTCATTAGGTGTTTCATCGGAAACTTTACTTTGTTTGTGGATAATCTACTGAACACTATTCACTAGAAAGGTTTATGGCAGGTAATGGGTCGTTATGGTGAGGTTCTGAGTGTTTTTATTCCAAAGAAGAGGAGTCGAGCAGACACTAGGTTTGGTTTCGTAAAACTTTGTAATACGATAGAAGCTGAAAGAGTTAGGGAACGGTTGAAAGGTCTTATGGTGTACGGTAGTCGTATCTCAGTGAGTTTTTTCAAGTATATTTTGAAGGTCCCAAAGTATAAATGTGTGCATAGTAAGATGACATGGAAATCAAAAATTTTGAGATCAACCTTAAATGAAAAAACATAAAGTACGAAGGCTGGCCAAGTGGGAGCATCCAGAAAGGAAATTTTGGGTCATGTTGATGAGGAGGAAGTAAGAAAGTTGAGGAGATATTTGGTTGGAGTTATGGCTGGTATATGTAGTGTTGGGAGTATCGTTGATAGATTACAAAACTGGGGCTTAGGGGAAATTAAAGTTCAAAGATTACGTGGGAACTCCTTTCTTCTTACCATTGAGGAGGAAGATTTGTTTATCATGCTTGAAGACCTTCAGTGGTCTTACTTGAAGGAGATTTTCATGGATATTATCCTTTGGACAGAGTCTATATGTCAAAAGGAAATAGTTGTATGGATAGAGATAGTTGGATTACAATTGCATTGCTGGAATGAAATCACTTTGAAGATATTAGCTGGCTCTTGGGGTAGATTTGAAGATTTGGAGAAAATGTAAATCATCATATAAATTGTGAAAAAGTTAATATGTTGATATCTACTTCGTTTGAAGCTCGGATTGATGAAGTTTTTGATTTAGTGGTGGAGAATATGAAGTTTGATGTATGAGTACTTGAAGTAGGGATGATGGATCATTCATTAGTTAAATTGAATAAATCTGAAATATTTAAGAAAAAAAAGTTTGAGGATGAGAAGGATGGAGTAGAGTTTAGGGCTGATAAAGATGGTGTTTCATCGTTAAATCTGTCCGTTGATCTATCAGAGGCATCTGTGTCGGGAAGTTCAGATGACAAGAAAGGGACTCCTACATCCAGAGGTGACGTATTTATTGTTGCGTGTTCTGAAGAAAGGCTAGGAGGTTGTAGTAATGATAGTGTTGGGAAGTCGATCGAGGTCAGTTATGGTTTCAAAGAAGGTACAGAGAGAGTCAGTTTTCAAATTCAAGATCACTCTAATCACGTGGGGTTTCAAGGAGTGGATGTTGATGGGGTAGAGATTAAGGCTTTAGGCTCAAATGTGGTTAAGTCTTATAAAGATGGGGTTACAATGATGGAGGATAGAGTTATGGATGTAGGGGTTATTGAAGGCTCACCAGAAATTGGGCTTCCACGAGGGATGGGCTTATCGGTTGAAGCTGTAATGGATTTAAATAGTGTAGTCTGGTGATGGAATCAATTTGGGTTCTGTTAACTCAAGTGAAAATGGTAATTCAATTATAAAGAAGAAAACAAAAAATGAGCATTTTGGGGGTGATTTCAAAGAGGCGTCATTCTTGCTAGATTT